CAGCAAAAAAGCAAATAAAACACGAGTGCGGAAATTTTATCTCGAAAGAAAAAACATGAGAATGAGCCATTCTCTTGTAAGACTACTTACAGTAGCTAATTTTATGAACGCGTAATTGACTCAGGTCGTGGCGGCTGCACGCGTACCCCTGATCGTTGCCACAACTACAGTATTCTTTTTCGTGTCCGGACCCATGTCTACTGTGACGTTGGCAACGATTCAAGTCGTTCAAGGACGCACAAAACTAGGCACCCCTTATTTCAGCGGGATTACGACTAGAAGGCGGGACTTTGAGGCCTAATTAAGGCTGGAGAATGGTCAGAGAGCACGCCCTCGAGAGAGACGCAGACTGCTTCGCTAGCGCGAGCGGCCGCCTTCCGGCCGCCAATCTCGTTGAATCAAAGGGTATACTGTTTTTGCAAGCAAATTCCCATGATAACGCAGATTTTTGGATTTTCCGCGAACAATTTGAAAATTTAGCTTCTTTCCCCAAAACCATATAAACCACTCAATCACTAAAAGCCCATAAAATTATTCCATTTTCACATCCGGACCAGTTTCACTTTTTCGCACCTTTCGCGTTTCATCACACTCTACCCCCATAACTTCATGATTTACGGCTATACGAATGGCTACGATGTGCCAAAACACTTACTAAAAAGTTGTCTAACCCCTTCTTTCTTTAGGCATATGAATGGCCCTAATCATACCCCTCGTGAAAGTTTCGGTTCCCTGGCTGATGAGATGGCCGACAGTGAACGCAGTGAAGTGATGCAGCTTCGACTAGAAAATCGCAAACTGCGCGCTCATCTCGACTCAACAGAAAGGTAAATTAGGATTACGGTATCATTTAAAAGCCGCAATTTCTGAACTTTCACCATTTCAGCTCAATAGTCGCATCAGCCGAACTGGAACAACTCAAAACCGATCTGGAGGAGCGGGAGAAGCAATTATCCGAGAATCGTGCTGAGCACGAGCTTGTCCAACGACAAGTTCAAAG